CTTAAATTGTATACCAATCAATGAATAGCATTTCGCTATTTGCTTTTGAATTTATGTATTAAAATCAATGCTTACTTTTTTTATACTAAAGACATATGATAAAGGATAATTTGATGAAGTGAAAGCATTGGTAGGGCATTTGAAAAAATATTATGATATAGTAAAAAATATTTTCGGCAAGTAGCTAGCAATATAGTAAAGAAGATTATCGATAAGTTTTCACAACATAAATAACGCAGCCTGGGTTATTGTTTCTTTATTACTGTATGAAATAAAGGCAATCAATATCAGTTACAAAGAAATTTTGTGAAGAACTCATAATGGAAAACACTATATATTATCTATCCTCTATTCTTGTCGCATAACCACAAATAATTACACAGACTGTCTCTTTGAAATGAGCATTTGATAATATTTTGAGAAATATGATGTGTGTGTGTGATTATGGCAAAGCCTCGAGGGCTATCTGCCTAAAGGGAGGGATGCCTTTCGTGGAGGACTTTCTAAGGGAAACTGGCTCGTATACACGTTACACATGGGGAAAACCACGAAAACGCCCATGCAGCCAGCCCGTTCGCGGGATTCGAACCTCGGACCGAACTACCAGTGTTCAGCGACTTTACCGCTCGGCCGCTGGTTGGCTATTTTGAGAAATAATTATTTTTCATTAATATAAAGTAATAAGTACAAGGTTATATGTAAATTCACAAATTTTTTTTTTTTTTAGAGTTGATTAGTTTCCTTTTAAAGTAACATTTTTAATTATTATTCATAACAGAAATAAGAATAATAGCCGGTTTGTTGCACAGTAGAATGCATTAAGAATTTCACACGTATATTACAGCTTTATTTGGAGTTAACAATCTTGATAGCCAATGCGATATTTCTTTAACACGGTTGCTATTTATTACACAGTTTGCCTTTTTCATCAGCTTTATTTATCTTACATTCCGTTTTAGTTAAACTATTTAAAGTGATAACTTTTATTGAGTTTTCACTTATGAAATATGTCATATTTTTATGTCGAAATACTTCTGCGAGCTAGATTGCCTTAATAAAACAATGCAATAGTAAAAATATTTTTTTTTATTACGGCTGCAAAGCGATTACATTCAATGTATTTAACGCAATTATAAAATATGACTGCAGCATTATAGAAAGTATTCTCCTCAAACCCTTGGGCAAACAGGGAAAAATTTCATTGATTCAGCTCCTAAAAATATGGAATAAAAAATGGGACAACATTAGAATGGTCGAATAAAAAACTCAAAATTTCAGAATTCACTGGTTACAGTACATTCTTCATTGTTTTCAATGAGTTAAGCATCATAAATCATTGACTATTTTCAGTGTCTTTTGAAAATCTCCGCTCTTCTAACCATTACCAAGACCGTCGGGGAGAAGCAAGTATGGCAAGGGAAGGATTTCATGTAGTTTTCTCATATCTTGATTCTATTGCTTTTATAACTATAAATCAAAGGTTCTTATTCTGCAAAAAATTGTTAATTGTGCCAGTTGTTGAGAAATTTGCATCCCTTCTCTGTGGCTGCGCGGTGAGCAGAAAAAGGTAGAGTACAGTTAACTCCGTGGCAGAAACCACGGATGTAGGTGAAGGCTTTGCGTCCATCCGAAGTGAGTGAAGATTGTGTATCCTCCCAATGTGCTTTATCGACGTCGCCAACAGCCATGAATCATTTTAGCGTGTCAAATCCAATAGGTATGATAGCTTATTGGACCTTGCAGGGGAATATAGCAATAGAAGACTAGGTTGTAACAGGAATCTAGCACAGTATCCCGGATAATTTACTACGTTGCAAAGTACCTGCCTAACTAAATGAATTGTCAAGTCGACTCAACTCATGTTGTACCAGTCAAGTATATTCATGGATTATTCATCATATGGTTTTTACCAACATGTTATAGTCTGACATCATTGGTTTATGTGTTTTGTTAAACTTAAGGAAAGCAGCCATTAAGTCTTACATTTCAACTTACAAGTGTACTCCTTCGGTAGGGAACCACGTTTTACACTACTACTGAAGAACCTTCAAAAATTCAAAACAGCTCCCATAACATGTTGTTTAAATAGAAAATTTCAAAATCAAATGTGTGTATTTGGTTTTGCTGAAATTATTTATAAGTTTTCAACGTTTACATACTCATAAAATTTCACAAAACAAAGCATATAGTAACTGTACACATGAAATATGCAAGAATTAATCCTAAATGTAAAATAATGCAAACGAAGCATGTGCAAAATTTAAAAAAAATGAAAGTGCAATAGAAATATGTACAAATTTATTATAACGCAATTATAAAATGCAAAGCTCAACAAATGTATAATAGCGCAATACAAAATGCAATAAATATACACAAAATTTCAAGAAAATATTTACGTAAACTCTTAAAAATATGCTTAGCAAATTGTGTTCAATATTAAATTACGAACTCTTTTTTTAATGACTTATTAGCCTTATAATTAAATGTATTTTACGCAGTACATTTTCGCGGTTTTGGATAGCCATATTAATTTTTATTTTAACTCTTTGAATTATGAGAAATTTTTATGTCTGAATTACAAGTAATATTTCACATATGCCCAATAAAAAATTAGCCCGAAAGCTCTTCCTTTTTGTATCGTTTATTTTAATTTGTAATTATCTGTTAATTACCTGCCTAATTTTTAATTATCTGTTAGGTAAAAAATGTACAAAGCGTTATTTCAATGTAACCCACAATTAAGGATGAAAATGAAAGTTATTCAAGGAAATTTTATAACTACGAAAGTGTCAAGAATTTCAACAATTTTCGTAAGAATCTCAGAATTTGTTTTAAACAAAATACAAGGAAAATCTCATCATCATTTCATCGGAAAGAAATATTTTTCTTTTCGATGAAAATTTCTAGGGTGTCTTATAAATAAAAATGGACTAAAATTCTTTCTGCTTGTAAGAATATACGGCTTTAAATTTAAATCTAAAACCCTGGTGATTTTATTCAGTAGTTTAAGCTGCTTCTCTTCTATCACTAGTGAAAAGGAGTTGTTTACGGTGAACAACTGCTGTTGGAAAGCGAGTTGGGAATCGTATTATTTTCTGAAACCTGAGATACGAAACTGTCAGCTAGAAAACAATTTTTCACGGACGAAGTCTTTTTGCTCTTTTTCTACTTCTTCTCTGTCGCTTTCATTTTAAATATATGCGCATAGAGTAAGTTTATTTCAAGCTTCGACAAAAGAATTCTTTCGAATGAAACACATTTCAGACGAAGAAAATTACTATATGAAAGTAGAAATTACATTAAAAAATTAAGTTTGTTCTCGGATAAAATTAATGCTTTTTTATTTTTAATTTCCTCATCAATGCTTTAAGTATTTCCTAAATGATGAAGAACTAAAATTAAAATTGTTAAATTCGGAATTTAGGAAGCAAATATTCTCAGTTAGAAATGAGAACATGACTCGCTTAAATGTTAACAAACTGTAATAATCGAAAACAGTACATCTGTTCTTTTTTCTGATGCAGTTTTCTTCCGTGAATTGTAGAGACATTAGGTATTTTTTGGAAGCAGGAAAAATGAAAAATGAGCAACGCCCTCGCCCGAAATCGAACCACAAACATCTGGAATATGGGCCCAACGTGCAGACCACTGCACTACCAAGACATGCTAAGAAGGCGTAAGAAGTACCTTGCATACCTCCTCTTTTAAATTACGACTAGGTGTTTTTAGGAAACCCAATCGCCAAATCCTGGGTGTGGAGAATCATCATCCACCACCCTTTTAGTTCGGGCGTCACTGTAGAGACATTAAGTATTTTTTTGGAGGCAGGAAATGAGGAAAAATGAGCAACGCCTTCTCTGGGAATCGAACCGCGGACTTCTGGAATACGCTCCCAGCGTGCAGACCACCACATCACGAAGGCATGCTAGGAAGGCGGGAGAAATACGTTATATACTCCCCCTTTTAAAGGGCGACGGGGGTTTTTAGGAAACCCAATCGCCAAATCCTGAGTATGGAGAATCATCATCCACCACCTTTTTAGTTCGGGCGCAATTGTAGAGATATTAGGATTTTTTGGAATAGGAAGAAGTGAAATGAGCAATGCCCTTGCCGGGAATCGAACCACGGACCTCTGGAATACGCGGACAGCGTGCAGACCACTACATTATGAAGGCGTGTTAGACACCAGATTTATGAACTTGTGCATGTAACTTATGAAATTGAATTTAATGGGTCATTTAAAATGCTGGAGGTTGAATAAGAAGGCACATAACTATAATTCTTAGTGAAACGGAAAAGAAAATTTTGCCTAAATATAGTTCACTTTCATTTGTGTCTAAATTACTGCCTATTTATATTTTACTTCTTTAATTCCCTACCTAAAAACAAAAACACTTAAATTTAGTTTTCAAATTTAAATGTCGGCATATTATAGACATTAAACTCAAATACAGTCTATTCACATTTCTGTTATTAAAATGAAATACGGCTGAATTTCCATTTAAGTAATCCGTAATTAACTATTTGCTCAATTTATCGAATTTTTTTCATTTATTCAGCAAAGATAAGTAAGAGGGGGGAAAAACAGAAAATGTTTTGGATTTAACGAATATTTACGAATATTTAGTAGGCATATTTAACAAAATCTCAAAAGCATTAAATTTTACCGTTGAAAGTTTAAAAAATAATTTGCCTGAAAGTGAGTCAGTTTTGCACTTTTCTTTAGCATACGTATCCTAGCTTCAAACACGGGAGTAAGAAAGCTATTATTCTGTCACATAATGGAATTGTTGATGAAACTGCAGATTTTGTACACGAGAATAATTCGATCTCCTTTAAAATGAAGTATAAAAATATTTTAGAAAAAGAAATGTGTTTTCAGACAGAACACTATCCCATATGTAGTTTTTAGCTTTCAATGAAAAATAAGTACTAAACACCAAGCCCAGCCGAGACTGGAAGGATAGAGTTATAAGATATTTCTCCTGACTTCTTAACATGCCTTCGTAGTGTAGTGGTCAGCACGCTCGGCACGTAATCGAGAGGTCCGTGGTTCGATTCCCGGCGAGGGCATTGCTGATTTTTACATCTACTGCTCCGAAATAACCTAATGTCTCTACAGATTAAATAGCATATATAGCATAAAACTACTGTGTTACTTGCGAAGGAACAGAAATATTAGTTAGGGCACTGTAAAAGTGTTAGTCAAAGAGCGAACGATCTTGACACGAAAGCTAATATTACGACATTTAAACTCAGTTTTAATGACGCAATTAACTGTTTGGTTAATTGACTACGGCAAAGCATGCAAGGTTATCTGCATAAGGGAATGGATGCATTCCTGAACAATTTTCTAAGGAAAACTGGGCCATATTCAAGCTGTATATGGCAAAAATTTGATGGAGAGTCCGTACGAGAGCCATTGAATAATGTGACTGAATATTCTAGCAGTTTATCATTTAAGCAAGTTGCATTTTTATTACCAGATGCAGTCGAGAATGATATGCATAATCTCAGATAATTCGAAGAAGGAATGAAATTAATTAATCATAGAATGTTAATCTGCAGATGTATACTATATAATAGTATGCAAAGTAATTGGGAAACAGCAATTTTTTGATAATTTATGTACATTTCTTCACATACAGTTTGTAATAATAAAAATAATTATTATAATAAATAAAATTGATATATTTGTCTTCATTTAGCAAAAATGATTTCTAGAATGCATTTGGGCACTGACTTCACTAGCCTTGTGGATTATGCTTTAATTCTTTATTATGAAACCAAACTTCTGTAGCACTCTTGATAATGCACTCTTTTGTTATACAAACCATTTCCCTGCGATGTTACTTCAGAATGTGCCACAAATTTTCCATTGGATTTAAGTTTGATGAATTTCCAGGCCAATCTAGAACAAAAATTTCATTTATCAACATGAACCTTCTGAGAGATTTAGAAGGATTGCATAGAACCATGTCATGTTGAAATGTTCCTGCAAATGCGTTTCAAGAATGACACAATCCTACGCTTTAAAATTTCTACGTACGTGGATGAATTCATCATTTCGACAATAGGATTTAGACTTCCAGTGCAGTCTGCGGGAAAAAATCCTTAAACATTTATTTCTAAGGATTTTTTACGATTCTTTTGGATATGCTGAAGCATTGTTGATCCCCCCCCTCGCATTGTCTAACAACGTTAGGCATGTACCGTGCACAAGCAAATGAGCTTCATCTCAGAAAATGATCCTTTTCCGTTATTTTTTGGTCCAATATTTATACTTTTTGGCCCATAGTAATCCTTTTCGCTTCATCTGACGTGTCAAAAGTTGTTTTTTAAATAGCTTTCTCGCCTTCCGATGACTAGCGAGAAATCTACGCCGCCCATTTGAGGATGAATATCCATATCAATAGACAGCAGATCTCTTTTAAGGTCTGTGCTATTTTTTATTCGTTTAATAATGCTATTTCGGAATAGAAATCGATCAGATTTTGAAGTTGCTTTCCTTTTCCTTCCACTATTGCTCTTCCTTTCTGCAGAAAAGGATCCAGTTTCATCATCTCTCCTCAGAATTCGAAAAACTCTCGGTTTCCCAAAATCAGACACGGAAGTTATATTTCTTACAGCCATGGACTATGCAATAATCTTTGCCCTGTTTTTGAGCGTTATATCCATTTTTAGTACACTAAAAGAATACAAAACATATTTAAAAATACGCAAATGTAACTTTTTCACAAAGAAACAAGCTTAGAAATGGTGCAATAATTCTAATTTAATTCTAAACCAGTTTTAAGTAGTCGAAAGCAGATATCTAGATATCTTTAAGGCAGATAAAACAGCTCTGAAGAACCTGCTGGCTCCAAATGGCAACCAAATTAAAATTCTGTGAAAAATCATTTTGTGCCAATTTATTTGAACACTTTAGTATTTATTGAACTTTGAGATATAATGTGATAGCAATGAAACAACATATCAAGACAATGAAGGCCAAATGGCAAACAAATCGAGCAGATTTTAAAGCGAGATTTGTTTTAAACAATAATTGATTAAAAAAATTCTTTACATAGTTCTCTCTTTTTCCATAAAAATTTCTTTTATTTATTCACTTTATTAAGGTTTTCTTGCGAGATTAAGTACCTAAATTTTGTGTTTCTTCACTCTTGTATGTTTATTTAATACTCCCTGATTTAAAGAATAATTTTGATTTAATTAATTTTAACACTGGCTCATTAAATACAAATTCTATATATTCGCCTATTTTCCACCTTCTTTTTACTTATTCTGTCTTCTAAACATAAAGCCCGAAAAACTATGAAATGTATACCAATTCCGAGGGAAAAGTTAGAGCTTAGAAGACTAAAATAGGTAAAGAAATATATGTGATAATATAATAGTATTTTAAAGAAGTAAATTATAGTTAATGGTTTTAATACTATTCCTTTTTACTTACATAATATACTTTGCTATATACTCATTCATATTTTGTGCATCGCTATCACAAAATAGAAAGTATTTAAATCATATGCTGGAAATGCTAGAGAATAATACGCAGGGAAAGGATATGCGAAAAATATGGGATGATTATAATCCGAATTCAGATAATAATATAAATACATTTAATTAAAAGACTAGTTGCCACAACATACAGTTTTGCGTAGTTTTCTAATTTGTATTTTGCATTAAATGGCATTAAAATTTATATTTTCATCCTTTTTATCCTTTTTGTAATTTTTAAAGATGTTTCTCAAACCGAAAATGTTTTCTTAAGCTAAGAACTACAGATCATTGGTTTGCTACTTTGCTACTGAGGTAAAATTTCTACTGACTGTCTTCATATTTGCCTTTACATTCCTTTTTTAAATTCAGACTAAATATATTTCATGCTGTCTGTACCAGTATTTCTGCTATAAGCATTAAAGCAAATGATACTCAGTAAGTAGGAGTCACCTAAAAATTTTTTAAATCATAGATGCATTTTGAAATTTTATTTCTTGCAACTGGGTAATTATTTATTTACATAAATAGCAGTTCCAGTATCTTTCGAAGGTTCTGTATTAGAGAATATGACAACACTATTCACCATTTTTCTAATTTAGTTTTCGTTTGCATATATTTGTAATTCATTTTTAAAATTTTTTCTTTTAAAAACCTTGTAAATATTAAATTTTAACCTTATCATTAATCTTTAAAAGCTTCGACAAATTTTGTATTTAGCGAAGTGAAAAGAAAGCAGGAACACAGTGAAGAGAGAGCAAAAAATTGCATCTTGTCGAAACTGCTAATAAAAAAGGTTTAAAATATTCAGCTTTATTACTGCAACAATGATATAAGCCGACACAAATAAAGGCCCACATGAATAAAAGACATATAATTTTTAACAGTATAGGAGAAATGACAATAATTATAATAAATATTAATAGTATTATAGGGCTTAAATTCAGACGAAGCCCAAAAGAAAATGTGTTCAATTGTTTTAATTTTTATTTAATTATTTTGTTATTAATTTAGTTTAATTAATTTATTTTTTATTTATATTTTTTATGAATTTACTTTACATAAACTAAAAATAATAGGGAAATTATTATTTTCTACGTGGCATATATATCCGTGACAGCCTTTGTCACTGTGGGGCTAGTAACAATCTGAGCTTTTATAGACGTGGGCTTTACTCACTAGCGGTCGAGAGGTAAAGTCGCTAAACACTGGTAGGTCCGAGATTCAATCTCGGCGAACAGGCTGGCTGCATGGACGTTTTCGTAGTTTTCCACAAATGTGTAACGTATATACGAGTCAGTTTTCCTTAGAAAGGTCTTCCACGAAAGCATACTTTTCCTTAGGCAGATAGCTCTCGAATACTTTGTGCTTTACCATAATCTAAGAAACCAAACCGACGTAGGTTTTTTTTTTTTATCTAGGTGCGCTTTCCTCCATGTATATATTTGTTTCGTAAGTAATTATCACAGTGGGGTTATTTTTATGGGCTTTTGTCCTATGAGCTTTCTTCCTATGGGCTTTTATCCAATCACTTATTATTCGCAAACCTATCCACTCAAGATTCTGGAATAAGCGACTACTGCAAGAAAAATCTTCGTTCAGATATCAAAATGTCTGAATTATTTGAAAAGAAATTACAATTTCGAAAAAATTTTAGCTGCATATTTTTAACAAGTTAGATGATTTCTAAAAATTTCGCTAGATGTGTGTAAAATTTCTAATCTCTGGTATTTGCTGTAAAAATGATTGTATATCTGCTCAATCGTAATTAGGAAACAATCTCCAAATTTTACTGTTTGAGGTTGTCTTTACGGTTCTAGCGTTAATATTTCACTAGAAGAAGATATAAAAATAGCAAACGCCCCAATGAGATTCTTTGGCATACATATCCCATTTTTGTTACATTTTTGGAAAAAGCATTCTTCAGTCTAAAATGTTTTCCGAAGTAAAAACATCCTTTCTATGAAGACATGCATGGTAATCATCTGATGATAAAAAAATTAGGTCGTCTTGCACGTAAAGCTGAATATTATTTTTCCTTCATTGTTAAGGAAACAGCAAAAAAATAAGCCTTCGTTGCAAAAGCTAAAGAACGTTTTCACTTGAATCATAAAATAATTACATAACGAGGACTAAATTTCTAATCAACTATTTTTATTACTAGCGGCTGGTTTCTGTAATCCAATTTTAGTGACATAGGAGAATGGATTTCCATAATTTCCTCGTAAAGAAACACTTTTTTAGCTAATTAAAATAATGTTTAGCATAACGAGTCTTTGCTTCCGTAAGTAAATTGATTAGAGGGTGAATCAAAGCTTACTAAAGATAACATTAATAGAGACTGAATTGTGGGAAATATGATAATTTGAACTGTTAAAACTAACAGCTGAATAGTTGTCTACAGGAATGCAGCTAAGCCTAGCTTTAAATTCTTTTACTTTATAATACTCTATTGCATCTTGTTTTATTTCCATAGGAATTAGTACCACGAAATGATATTTCGAGTACAAGAAAAAACATTAATGATATAAGAAATTAACATCCTGTCTGAACAATTTTCTTCCAGGATGTTTTGT